AAAGTTAATGTTTTATAAGTTATTATTAAACTTATTTTTTTTTTATAAATTTAATACTTTTAATTATAGCAGTTAGCTACTTTACATTTGTAATCTTTAACTAAGTAATGTAACATTAAGTAGTCTTCTTTTCTTACTACTTTTTACTAAAAGTAGTAAAACTTATAGTTGTTTTATTTTTTGCATGCTAGCTATCCCTCTTGTTTATAAAAGAAGGTAGTTTAGTATGTATAATAGTTTATAGTTTTACAGGCTAAGGCTGTTTCTTGCTATAGGCAACTGTTATAGTTCTTTTTTTATGTAGGCTACTAGCCTATCTAGTGTTTGTTGTCCTAATGTTTCACACATTAGCGCTGTGTACATTAGTACTAGGGGTATAGATAATTGTTAGGTCTATATAACATGTTAAAAGGGCTCTTTTAAGTCTACTATAGGTATTTCTATGTTTGTATAATCTAAACAAGGTGTCTCTTTTATTAGTAATTATTAGTGCTATAAGTTTTATTTTTATAAAGTGCACACTAGCTATAGCTCTATTACATTACTAAAGCCTTCCTGCTAATTGCTAGGCTTAGGAGTAGCATCTTAGGCTTTCTAGGTACTAGCTTTAGAACTTTAAACCTAGTAAGTCTGCCTAATTCTTCTAGTTTCTAGTCTTAGATCTAGATAAAGAACTACTATTATTCTTTATTATTTATAATGTTATATTTAACTTTAGCTATCTGCTATATTATGTTAAATATTAGGTAGTTATTGCTAATATTTATTTAATAAAGCATAACTATATAATAGCTTAGGTAGTTGTGTTGTAGACTACACTTCTAGCATTTATATTTTTAAAACTGTTAGAAGAGCTTTTTTACTAAAGTACTAAAAGTCTAGTCTTAAAAGGGGAACTTTTTTTTTTCTAAACATTTATAATATATCTTTAGATCTAAGTCTTTTCTTTGTATTTTTTAAAAATTATAAGGTCCTGCAACACTATATCTAGGCTGCTAAAGTTTTAAATAACTATCTTCTAATACACTTTAAAGTAGTTATTTAAAAAGTAGTTTTTTTTATATTACTAGTAAAGTCTGTTGTTTAATCTTTTTAATATTTCTTTATCTATAAAGCTATATTTAGCAGTAATAGCTTTTATTATTATAGTAGTATTTTTATTCTTCTTTTTTTAAGAGTTTAGGCAGTTTTAGCAGAAGTGTCTTACTTTTTTATAGTTTAGGCAGGCCTTGTTTTCTAGCTACTTTTATTATTCCTTTATTAAGGGCGGCCTATTATGTTCTAAGACTTAGCTCTTTTTAAAAAGGGGGCTCTATGTATGCTTTATGTAACTAAAGTCTATTAGTTTTTTATTATATTATAAAAGCTTTTTCTTTTTAAGAATAAACTCTAGTCTTTAAAGAGTTTCTTTTTATTTTTTTTATTTTTTACACTTTTTATAGCAGTTGTTATAAGTTGTTGCTTATATAATAAAGTTTTTAAAAGTAGTTAGCTTATTACTATGCATAAATTTATTTTTTACTATTTTACTTAGTCTATTATAGAACATGTAATAGAGAGCTTTCTAATTAGTCTATTTACAGATAGCTAGCTGTTCTCTAAAGCGTGCTGTGTAGTTCTAGACTAGGCTAGTACCTTATTTTATAGTATTTAGCTTAGTAGCTGCAATTTTTTTTTTATCTAAAGTTTTATAAATAGCTGTTAAAGTGTTTTTAAAGTTTTTAACACTACTAAACACTTTCTTAGTTTTAGAGGTAAGTACTTTACTGTTTACTCTAAAATTTATCTAATTATCTACATAAGGCTAGAACTAAATTATAGGGGGGCTGTAACGATTCTCGTTCCATCTCGGGTCGCCCGGAACCCATCCGAAGGGTCCCCGTATCGGCTCCGACCCTGGCTCGACCCTGACTCGACCTGGCCCTGACTCTGCCCTGCCCTCTGCTGTTACCCCTATTCCCTTATGTATTTAGTCGCACCTCGCCCTGTAGCTAGCTTAGTAGTTTTCTAATATCCTATGTACAAGGCCTATAGGTGTTATTAGTATTCCTAGGTCTCTAAGTCCCCACGCACTCCTATATGCCTCTGAGTGGATTTATACCGCATTTAGACCTATTGTCTTGCCTGCGCTGTTACATTATATTAGAAAACTTACTTTTACTAGTAACAGCTTTATTAATAATATTACATTAATTGTCTATTTAACTACATCTAAGCCTAAGACGCGTCTAATTTAGTTTAGGTTGCAATCTTCTACACTGTTACATTAAATTACTTAGTCTATAGACTAGATCCTATTAACCTCTAGTTAACTAAAGCCTTTAGGTTTAGAACTTCTTATCCCTATGTGATTAGGATTGCCTTTAGAAAAGTTGCAAAGAATGCGCTAAGGTAGAAACTTAGAGACTACTAATAACTTATTAGGATTAGAGACAACTGCTAATGCCTAACTTTTAACTACCTTTTAACCCTAGAGTTAAACACGCTCTAGCTAAGCCATACCACCCTGTCAACAGCTGAACCTGCGTCCGCGGGACCTAAAGCTAGACCCACCTGATTTAGAGTTAACCTCTAGTAGTATATCTATGCTTAATTACAAGCACAGCTTGAGCAGCTAATCCACTAAAACACTGCTAGGCCACTACTAAATTACCCCTAATAATGCCTTAAATCACCACTGCTACCCTATAGCAAGTGTGACGGCGTGTACCGCCTCACATGCTCTGCGGCATCAGCTCCCTCGCTTGCGCAACAAGTAGCACACTAGTGCTACAAGTAGCGCCTTGGCAGAGGGCACACATGTATATTTAAACTTGCAGAGCAGCTCCTCTGCTCCTTAGTTTAATCTAGTTGAGTTACACCACCTCTTGCTTGTAGCTTGAGCATGCTGACCGTGACAGCAAGAGACCTTTAAGGCACCCCTAACAACGCCTAAATGTCACTAACTTAAACGCACAACTAAGATTAATAACTGCATAGATAGCAAGAAATAAAGGGAAAGTCTTAATTATTAACAGGCTAGACATCTATATAGATTACTATTAGAATAGGTGCGCATAGCGTTTGTTTAGAGGACACTGCTAGCAGTGCAAAGGAATACTTAGCAAGGACACCTAGCTAAATTAGACTAGTTTTAGTTTAAGAAGGCAGAGGACATAACAACAATACTTTGTACTATAACTACTACTAATAGGGACTATTAGTCTACAGAGGGGGGGGTAGTGTAACAATTCTCGTTCTATCTTAGGTCGCCTAGAACCCATCCGAAGGGTCCCTGTATCGGCTCCGACCCTGGCTCGACCCTGACTCGACCTGGCCCTAACTCTGCCCTGCCCCCTGCTGTTACCCCTATTCCCTTATGTATTTAGTCGCACCTTGCCCTGTAGCTAGCTTAGTAGTTTTCTAATATCCTACGTACAAGGCCTATAGGTGTCATTGGTATTCCCAGGTCTCTGAGTCCCCACGCACTCCCATATGCCTCTGAGTGGATTCATACCGCATTCGGACCCATTGTCTTGCCTGCGCCGTTACAGTTATATAAAAGACATTATAGATAGCTGTAGCATGTTATAAGAAAAGTTTTAAGTCTTATTTAAAAGCTTAAAGAGTAAGCTGTATCTAACATTCTTTAAAAGATTTAATCTAGTGTTGTTATTAAAGCATTATGTAGATAGGTAGAGTGTGGTAGGGGCTTAGCAAAAGTGGCTAGCTAACCTGTGTAGCCGGCCAACCTGTTAGGTACGTTACTTAAATATGCTAAAAGAATACTAAATATAGCTTACACTTTAGCCTTTTAAATACAATATAACACTTTTAAAGAAATATACTATAGCTATATATAAAGTCTTTTAAAAAATAATAAATAACTAACATACTAAATAACCTTTATAAGCTAATTTTATAGCTAACTTATAAAAGCTAGGTAATAATAAAGAGTAAGTAATTATTAAGTATATACTTAAGCTATATATGCACAGATTTTCCTCTTAGCTAGTGGCTGTAGCTAATATAGCTAATTCTTTACGCGCTAAGTATAATCTAGGCTATGTTAGCATAAACTAGCTTAACATACTCTACTAGTAAGTTACTTATACACCTAAGTTACTTACTTTTACTAAGACCCTACTAAACTACTTTTCTTACACTAATACATTTCTAATAATACTACTTAAATATGCTAAAAGAACATTAAATATAGCTTATACATTAGGCTTTTAAAGAAAATGTAACACTTTTAAAGTAATATACTATAGCTATGTATAAAGTTTTTTTAAAAAATTATAAATAACTAACATACTAAATAACTTTTATAAGCTAATTTTATAGCTAACTTATAAAGGCTAGGTAATAATAAAAAGTAAGTAATTATTAAGCATATACTTAAGCTATATATATAAGGATTTTCTTTTTAGCTAGTAGCTATAGCTAATATAGCTAATTTTTTACACACTAAGTATAATCTAAGCTATGTTAGCATAAACTAGCCTAGTATGTTTATAAAGTGTTATTTAAAAGCCTAAAATATAAGCTATATTTAATATTCTTTTAGTATATTTAAGTAGTGTTATAAGAAATGTATTAGTATAAAAGAAGTAGTTTAGTAGGGTCTTAGTAAAAGTAAGCAACCTAGGTGTGTAAGCAACTTGCCTGTAGAATATGTTAGTGTTATATTATTTAAACATTGCGTTTTGTATATAGTGTTAGTTGCGCTAAGAGATTTTATCTAGCTTAGCAATAGTTTATGTTATTATATTTATTTAATTTTAATGTTTAGTTAAAATCTAATAAATAGTTATTAAGTTAGAAGAGGGGTATTGTATTAAAAGTGTTGTAAGGACGGGGCTCTGTACCACTACGCCAATACAACCAAAAAGGTGCGAATAATTAACCAACAGTTAATTATTGCGTACAGAATAGTATATATACCCGTCGCACGTAAGCACCATCTCGGCCTTACAAGTGTGCGTCACGCGGGGCCGTGCGTTACCCCTCACTGTACTCTTACACGTACATGCTAAACTCATCACACCCATCATAAGCTTCTCTCACCTCCAAACATGTCAACACCTCTAGCCACAGTTGGCATTCTCTCCATTGGCTCTATGGGCCTTGGGATAACTAAACTCCTCGTCGCAAACAACTATCTAGTTCTCACCAATGTCTCAAACAGGAGCCCCGCGACTCAAACACGTGCTCAGTCCGCCCAGCTCGGCTTGGTCAACACTGACGCGGAGCTTGTAACTCGATGCGACTATATACTTTCAATTGTGCCACCGCGCGACGCTATAGCAACCGCTCGCCGTATCATCGATGCACTGAACAGCACGCCACCTGCCAGGCTCTCCACCGCGAGCCCGCTCTACTACCTCGATCTGAATGCGATAAGCCCGTCGACCGCCTCCACCATCGACAAGGCCTTCAAAAAAAACACCTCAAACGTACGCTTCATAGACGGCGGCATCATCGGCGGCCCGCCCACGCAATCTCCAGAAGGGACCTGGAAGAACCCAGGCATCCCTCTCTCTGGCCCATACACCCTTAAGTCCGCAAATCCCAGCGGCGCACATCTCGCCGAAACGCTCAACACCAGCTATATCGATGCCAACATCGGCTCTGCGTCAGGTCTGAAGTGCTGTTTCGCATCCCTATCTAAAGGCATGATTGCAATATCCCTGCAAGCCTTTAGCACGGCCTCCTCGCTTAACGTGCTCCCCCACCTACAATCCTACCTGGAAATCTACAACCCGCGAGCCGCAGAGACCGTGGGGAGGGGCATTGTCAACTGCCCTCCGAAAGCGTATCGCTGGATAGAGGAGATGCGGCACATTGGGGAGTGTTTTGAGGTTGAGGGCGGTTGGCCTGGGCAAGCGAGGGTTTTTAGAGAGATTGCGGGTGTGTATGAGGCGTTGGCGAGGGTTGTGGAGGCCAGGAATGGTACTGAGGGCATGGGAGATGTGGACGGGACTATTGGTGCTTTGCAGGATGAGTTGAAAGGGAGGCAGAGGAAGAGGAGGATGAGCGTTGAGTTGGAGCAGGATGATCAGTAGAGGGAGCGTGATGGTATATGTGCACCTATATTGGGATATCACTCTTTGCAATTTAAGCATATACAAAAGTTATTTATCCACGCGTATAATTTATTGTGTATATTAGTTATTTCAGGGCGGCGCTGCCTTGCGCTAAGATGCTACTGTTGTTACGACCCACGATTGGACCGTAAGCAACCAGTCAGCCGTGCCCCACTGTTTGAACGATCAAGGATGGAAAGTCGTTGAATTCCTGCCTGACAGGTCACGTGACCTAACGAACGAGGAATGGACCAAACTCCTAGACTAATGCGCAGCGGAGTGCGTTGTCTAATAGGAAGTAGACGTTTGCATGCGGATACAAGCGACTGCACGTAAGGCGTACTAAAGAATGTTGCATGCAACAGCTTGCAACAACATGCAAGTGCATGCAACCCTATGTATATAGTTTAAGATCTTAACTTTACTAGAAAGCTATAATTAATAGTTAGTTTATTCTTTCTATAAACTAAGTAGCATTACTACTTTTTAATAAAAAGTAATCTAATTATATATTTTACACTAACATACTTCACAGGCGAGTTGCTTACACACCTAAGTTGCTTACTTTTGCTAAGACCCTACTAAACTACTTTTCCTACACTAATGCATTTACAACAACACTGCTTAAATGTGCTAAAAGAATGTTAGGTATAGCTTACACTTTAAGCTTTTAAATAAAACATAAAACTTTTAAAAAAATATGCTGCAGCTATGTATAAAGTCTTTTAAAAAATAATAAATAACTATAGCACTAGATAACTTTTATAAGCTAATTCTATAGTAAACTTATAAAAGCTAGGTAATAATAAAAAGTAAGTAATTATTAAAACTATACTTAAGCTATATACGCAAGGATTTTCTTCTTAAATAGCATTTATAGCTTAAGTATAGTCTTAATAATTACTTACTTCTTATTATTATCTAGCCTTTATAAGTTAGCTATAAAATTAGCTTATAAAAGTTATCTAGTGCTATAGTTATTTATTATCTTTTAAGAGACTTTATACATAGCTGCAGCATGTTTCTTTAAGAGTTTTATGTTTTATTTAAAAGCTTAAAGCGTAAGCTATATCTAATGTTTTTTTTTAGCATGTCTAAGTAGTGTTGTTAGAAATGCATTAGTGTAAAAAGAGTAGTTTAAGAAACTTTGCACATAGCTACAGCATATTTCTTTAAGAGTTTTATGTTTTATTTAAAAGCTTAAAGCATAAGCTGTATCTAACATTCTTTTAGTGCGTTTAAGTAGTGTTATTAGGAATGCATTAGTATAAAAAAAGTAGTTTAGTAGAGTCTTAGTAAAAGTAAGTAACTTAGTGTTACAATCCTTGCTTCGTGGAAGCACTCGGGTCGATGCTGTTCCTAGTGGGGTAGGACGGGGTAGAAGGGGCCGACAGTAGGGTGTACAGTCCTACGTAAGGGCTAATAGACACTAGAGTAAGGTAGAGTGACTAGATCGTGGTTTGTCCCTGTGATGACAAGCACTGTCTCTACTACTGTATGGAGCTGGGGAAGCAAGGTAGAGTAGGTCGGCTCTATTTCAGCTACACTAAGATAGAGAGGAGAAAGGGAGCTTTAAGAGCAGCTCTGCAGAAGAAGTGCTTATAGTGCTAAGGCGCTAGTAAAAACACTAGCGCTAAGTAAACTAATAGCGTTGCGCTAGTTGCACCCTCTATATCCTAATTAGCTGCACAGGCAGCTTGTTATGTAACGCGCGACAGAGCTCTCTGCGTAGGATTGTTACATTACCCCTCTCTAAAGTAGTCTTATCTTTAAGACTAAGTAGTTTAGCACTTTTATATTAGTTTTTAAACTAGTTAAAACCTTAGCGCAGGTTAATTATTAACTTTTATAAGTTTTATATTCTTGCCTTTTTTATACGCTTGCAACTAGGCGTCTAGTTGCGCTAGCAGACTAGGCTTAGTAGAATATGCTTAGTAGAAGTCCTTTACCTTATGCAGAGCTCTAAGGAATCTGTTAGCATTATACTAGGTAAGTTTAGAATTATAGCCTACCTATAAGGCTTAGTATTAGAGACGCCTATAGTAGACATAACTATCTAGAATGTTTTAAACCTGCTACTTAAAGTAACTATTAACTTTAATTAGCTTTTTTAAAGGATTAACTTAACCTAGTAGTGTTATAGGTGCTGCCTGCTATAGGCAGTCTGTGTAGAAGACATTATGCATCTTTATGTATAAAAAAAGCTTAAGCTAGTACAAATAACCTTTTATACCTATAATTAAATAAGGCTTATACATCTACTAGTTAAGCTTCTAGCTAGAGCACCTTATAGTAAAGCCTTTAAAAGTTACATATACTTTATTACCTACTATAAAGTTAAGCTTACATTACTTTTTATTTACTTAAGCTACTTACTACTTTTAAGCTTAAGTAATACTTTTTTTTATAATCTTAATTACTTATTATATAGTGTTATAGTAGAGCTTAGCATAGCTTTAAGCCTTTTTATATAAAATCTGCTTTAGTGTAGTTAGTAAGCGCCTTATATATACCTTCTAGTTCTAGTAGTGTGTTAGATAATAGCTAAACTTAATTTTAAACAGTAATAACTTTAACGTACTTTATAGGCGAGTTGCTTACACACCCGAGTCGCTCACTTTTGCTAAGACCCCACCCTAACAAACTCTATTATGGCCCATAACAACCCGCTCTGGCACTATATAGTACAGTACAGCCTAGAATATTATTTAGATACTACTTCTGCTTCTTGCTTATATGTTTGCGTGTTATGCCTAGTCTAATTGCACTATCTGCAGCGCCTTTAGGATAGCTTACCTACTTTAGCTTACACCTGCTTCTTTACCTTCTTTTTATTACTGCGCACTCTAAACTCCTTTAGAGCTGTTAAGTGTAGGCCTTCTTAAATTATTAAGGTTTTTTCTGCCTTAATCTGCTTTCTTTTATGCAATTTATATTACATAGCAGCCTTATTAGCTGCTTAAAGCTTAGTAATTTTTTATTACACTAACACTAGCTTATGTATAATTATTACTGCCTTTTTTAAGACCTTCTTAAACACCTTAACTATAAAAGTTAGTAAACTATTTATATGCTTTTAAATTTTTATTTTTATAAGCATTAATTATAACCTAAGTTTTAGAGTATTACTTAGGGTTTACAACTACTAGGGCTTATTATATATAAGTAGTAGTAGTAATAGAGTGCGCAACTTTACATTAAGGCCTATTATAACTTGTTGTAGGTTAAAAAGAACTAATTTAGTGCTTTAAAACTCTTCTTAGATATTACTAAAAGTAATTATAGCATTATAGGCTACTTTAAAGCATAGTAAAAACTTTATTTTTATAATATAAGTAATCTAGTTGCATATAAGGTTTTTAGCTTAGCACTTATACGCTTTTTTTAAAGAAGTAAAACAACTTACATTAAGTAGCTATAAAAGGTGTAATAAATAAAAAGGTATATAGATAGTAATAATTTTATTATTTTTATAGTATTACTAGAAATAAAGTAAGTTATAGCTCTTATAGCTATTAATAACTAGTAAATAGTAGCTGCTAATAGTACACTTCTTTATATGCGCGTTAAAGTGCTTTAACTAGTCTAAACTAAGCTAATTAGTAGTCTAGCTACGCTTAAAAATTGCAATAACTTAATTTTAAAGTAAATTTTTTTTTTATACTAGTTTAAAAAGTAGTTGCTACCCTAAAAGATAATAAAAAGTAGAATAGCCTACCTTTTAGCATTAATGCCCTAGATAGCTGTTGTCTACTCCTAGTTGCCTAGCTAGACTACTTTTAGCTGTTCTTATCTCTTTAAACTTATAACAACTGCTCTAGTAGATATCTAGCCTATTATAAACTTTATTTTATTAAAGTTATACATGTTATTATTCTAGATGCTATACTTAGCTTTAATATTCTTTATAAAGTTAAACTAGCTTTAAATTACTATAAAAATTTTATAAAAAGCTTTTTTATAGTTATACTTACACTTAAACTTTACTTTAAGCTTTAGGTAACACTTAATAAATATATTAAGCTAGTTTATGCTAATATAGCCTATATTATGCTTAGCACGCAAAGAATTAGCTATATTAGCTATAGCTGCTAGCTAAGGGGGAAATCCTTACACATCTAGCTTAAGTATGTGCTAAATAATTACCTACTTCTTATTATTATCTAGCTTCTATAAGTTAGCTGTATAATTAGCTTAAAAAAGTTGTCTAGCGCATTAGTTGCTTATTATCTTTTAAAAAAACTCTATAAATAGCTGCAGTGTGTTAGTTAAAAAGTGTTATGTCTTATTTAAAAGCCTAAAGTATAAGCTGCATCTAATGTTCTTTTAACATGTTTAAGTAGTGTTGTTAGAAATGCATTAGTGTAGGAAAAGTAGTGTAGTAGGGTCTTAGCAAAAGTAAGCAACTTAGGTGTGTAAGCAACTCGCCTATAAAGTACGTTATTATTTTATATAGTAAAATGCTTAAGCTTAGTCTATATAAAGCAGCAAGTCTAACTAGTTATTTTAGAAGTAATTAATAAATAGACACAGTTACTAGTTAATATACTAATTTAGCACCTCTATATTACTATTAGTCTAAAGATAGTAGAGCATAAAGAGCTTTTATTTAACACTAGTAAAGTAGTAAAGCTTATTTATAAATATAAAAGTAAACTATAGTCTATAGTTAGAGATAATTAATTAAGAGGGTCTATAAACATACTAGATATAGCAATAGTATAGGTCTACAGCCTTTATAGTAGTAATAGTTTTATAGCATAGTAGTAAAAAGTAGTGCTTACTTAAATAGTCTACTATAATAAACATATTATTATAGCTAACTTAATTTAGTAGAAATAACTTAAAATTTATAAAAATGTTTTACTATGCTTACTTAAGTATTAGTAGTAGCTTAAAAAGCTTTAAAGTCTTATTTTAAAAGATATAGCTCTACTAATAAGCTTTATAAGTACTAATATAAGTCTTAATATTCTAGCTTATACTTGGCTAGTAGTACTACTTATATAGTAGCTTAGTTATTTTCTTAGTTCTAGAATATATAGTAAGTTATGTTGC